GGTAATATCTATGACTTTTGCCTAGGTTCCTGTTTTTTAAACTCCTGAACTGCCATTCAGAGTAGCCACGATTTTAATGGAATTTTTGGATTTAACAATGGTTGATAATCACTTTAAATATTTGCACAATCTCTTTATAATTAAAAACTCACTGAGCTTCACTTACTATCAGTTTTATAGAATTGGAGATGTTCCATTGGATTCTAAATATCAGATGCTCCTGGATCTCAAAATAGCCTTTTCTAAATAAGCACAAGCAAGAATCTTTTTTGTCCTAGCACTGTCAATATTAATAATTCTCTGAAAATCATATATGATTGAACCAGAGTTGTTTCTTTATGCTTGCATTCCAAAAGCAACTGATAAGGATATAAAAATATGTAGTTTCAACTCAAATTCTAGACCTATTCTGTTCTATATTATATGGAAGAATTTCTCTGTAATCCTGATATTATATTGCTCATTTGTATAAGCATATTTATAGGCACTTTAGAGAATGTTTAGACTGCAGTGTGTGTTATAGACACCGAACACGGTCATGTTAAATAGGCTTTTGATTAATACTTACACATTGAGAGATAGGAAAGCTGTATAATTTGGACCTTGTAGCTACACGCTGACTTGGGCAAAGAGTTGGGCTGTGTGGATAGAAAAACTGCTTTCTCAGGCTTTTGTTGAAAACTGGCATCATTCCCACTTTTTGAAAGTTGGTGTAAAAGCTGTTAGGTGGAAGATACAAAATAAGTGCTGTGTGAAATTTAGCTTTCTTATCTAGCGAAGATTTCTTTTAGAATTTTCAAGTTTCATATATATTCATGGCTTATCTGAGAAATGACAAAGCAATTAAAATGCTTTTGTGGTTGTTAACTATTTGGTACATTAACAATTAAAGCTTTATAATCAAATCCAGGTATTTTCAAGATCTGAAATGCAAATTTGAGGAAAACCCTGGAGAAAAATTCTCTTTCCTGGAAGAGGAAGACATGTAATTCAAGATAATACAGGCAAGAGGAAACAAAAAATAAAATCCCCCAAACAGAATAAAACCATGATTTTTTTTCCTGAAGTACTTTTTGCATGTGATCTAGGATTTAATTTTATCTTGGGAGTGGTGGATCATTTCTTAACCTCTCCTTCCTGGCCTAACAGAAACATCATAGTTCTTTTGGGACTGATCTAAACTCCTTTTACGTAAAATTCTCTCCTTGGGGGAATAGGATGCAACCAGATAATTTAGAAAGCTGTCAAAATACCCAGATATGTTTGCTGGTATAAATAACTTCTAGGCAAGGGAGAAAAAGCACAAGTTAAAACAGTACTTAGTCAACTCTTGATTAGTCCATCTGTGTAAAATTTTATTGACATGTTTTGGCTTTTTAAATGAGGAAAACAAAGTTTTCTTGGGTTTTTCTTCACTACTCCCCTGTCCAGAGTAAGTGTGAGAGTTAAGGAAGCCAGCTGAATTTGGGGCTTTTCTGCAGTGTGTCTGTATCTCTTCCCGGTTAGGAGGGCTGTGGGAGTTCCACTCACTGTATCTGCGCTGTACATCCCGGGATGTCAGTACTCCTCACTTCCAAACCTAAGTGCTGGGGCGTGTCTCAGAATTAATGTTGGAATTATTTACCTTCAAAAAATTTCATGTCACTGCTCCCTTTCATTATTATTGATAACTGAGAGTTGACTGTATGGGGGAAGGGCCGCGTTTCTGTTAGTGCTTTGAGTTCTTTTTCTTGTTAAGAATGAAGCAGTGCTCTCTCAGTGGTCTGAACAAGCTCGAAGGCAAATCACCACTAGAGGTTTTAATACTGAGCTTCCATATCACTGTGCTCATATGTACTTTTAAGGCTGTTCCTACCTTGTAACATTCACTTACTGGTCTATTTTAAAAACCTATGTTTTAAAGTTTTAAGCACAATGTTGATCCTTCTGTAATTTCCTAAAATTACATTGTTTTCCTACAAACAGCTCAACTTTCTTCTCTGTATAATACTTTAGAACACACTGCCTTGTAAAATAAATGTGATTTTTTTCTTTTGTACCAGGACAAGTCTGATATTTTGGAGTTTGGAGTATCCTCCCTCCCCACCCCTGTTCGGAGAGGTTCTGTCTGATTTAAATAACAACACTGTGAGCTAAACAAAACAAAAACAAAAACCCCATTTGCAAAATGTGAAACATATCTAGTGCTACTTTGTGCAAGGAAGTAAGCTGTTCACATCATTATTCCACTTGAACTTTACAAAAACAGTGCAGATTATTATTGGTATCCATAATACACACTCGTAGCCACCACTCAGGATTAACTCCTAGAGCCCTTTATAGTAAGAACTTTTCTGATAGCTGCATTAGGTTTATGCACATAAGACTTACATTCCCCACAAACACTGTTTATTTCCACGAAGCTACAAGCTGTGTATTCAGTTCATACCATTTTGTATAAGACAGTTCTCAGGGCAGGTCAGGATCCAGGGGGACCCCTGCCCTGCAGAGACAGGGGTGCGGCCGCTTGGTCAGCAAGGCTCAGGGGCCAGGCCTCAGCTTGGCGGATCCAGGAGCTTGATTTTTTTTATTGACACCGAGGAAAGAACAGCTTCTGGGGTTGGCTTTTATTAAATGACCTCACTGCTGAGTGCTGAGTAAATTCACTTATTGTTAATAGAAATAACATCACTGTTAATATTAAGAATGACCGCTCAGCAGCCACCTTCCCACCTTCTATGAGCAGCCCTGCCTGCAGCCCCATTTCGCGAGTCAGGAAGAGGCCTCACGAGGTAGACATTTTTGAAGGAAAGCCACTATTTTTGGTTAAAGGGCGTTCTTAACACAGTATTTAGGAAAAAAAAAAAAAAAAGAAAGAAACATTTTCCCCAAAGTGGCCCAACTTGCAGTTAAGTGGGAGGCGGGTTTGAACGCAGTCACCTTGGCCGTGGAGCTCACCCTCTTGGCCCTTTGCCTGCGTTGCCTCTTCCTGTAGCCCCTTCTTACTCTCAGGGTCCCTGGAGGCTGAGCCAGGGGAGAATATAGGGTGCTTCCTTCCTGTCTGCAACCCAGCTGACGCCTTCCTCATCCAGACATCGTCTGGCTTCCTCCCTCCCTCCCCCAGTTCTGTGCTCCACATGGACCTCTCCCAGCACACACACGTGTACACACAAGTGTGCACACACACACCCCGTCTTTCTGCAACTATCTCAGTGCTTTGACTAGGCCATTGCTTTTTCCATGTTTAATCGTGATTCTAGGCTAGCTCTTTCTGCCTTCACAAGAGATAACTTGTCTTTTAAAGTCACTTCTGCAGACAGCTAATCTCTTCAACTCTGTGTGCATTACACTTACTTAACTCTACAAAATTGTATTGCCAAGTTTTAGAAAGCATCTCATTGTCGCATCTTACAGATGCTGACTACACACACTTTTATTCTGCAATAAACTTTAATTTAGCATCTCTTCCTCATTACAGTTCAATCACTGGGAACTGGTAATGCTTTTAACCCTTGGTGTCCCACCCCCAGTACTCTGCTGAATGAAGGAGTAAGACAGGACCTCGGGACTCAGGCTCCCCGAGGTGGGGTTCAAGGAGGGGCAATTAGAAGTCAGATGGAATTCTTCAGGAACCAGGCAGATGAGGGAATTTGATGGAAATACAAGTGAAAAACAAGGTAAAGTAAATTTGTCAAATATTAATGGTGTTTTTCTATTTGCTTTTTCAAATTTTCCTGGTTTCCTAAAATGAATTGATGTTACTTTATCATCAGAAACACACCCAGTAAGCTGTTTTGAAGATCGTGAGTCCTAGGACAGTGAGCACCGTGGAGCCTGACTCTGCAGGTTTGTGGGAGGAAGTGGGGAGCCGGTGAGTCTGGGCAGCAATGCACTCCCACCCCCCACCCCCGCCTGCGGTGGCAGGGACTGAAGGCTGGACTGAGGACTGTGTGTCCTGGATCCACCCGGCCTCCCCAGGCAGTGACCTCATTCCAGGCCTTCATCCATCGCTGGAAGGTTCTTGGGCCAGTGGGTTGGAGAAGAGGAGGGGATTTGTTTCTTACTGTCCTCAGTCCCCAGCCCGAAACTGTATGAATTTAGGGATAGGAGATCAGAAAGCTTGGGCTCTAGTGGGACATCTTCGTCCTCTGTGACACCTATCCTGTCACCTAGTGTAAAATCCCAGTTGGCTTATCCCGAGAAGGAGGTCTGGAGCGCCACTGCAAGGTAACGACAGGAAACGCCCCATCGTGGGCCCACGAAGCCCTGCAGGTTCTGAAGGGGACTTACACGCATTTTCCTGGATGTCAGCTTGTCTGCCAAACTCAGCAACTCTGTGTGACAGGCGGGACAGGATAATTTTGTGAGTTTTTGGCTGAAGCATCCGAGAGCTAAGTCAACGATAGAGGCAGGTGAGTTACTCGTACGCGGCAAGTAAGTGACAGGGCCAGAGCTCCAAACTTCTGTTGATTCCAAATCCAGCCGGTGTTACCCCTTGTTGTTGAGGCCCAGCAGTCACACCTGCCCTGCTTAGGCCTGGTTCCACTGCTCCCCCACACTCACCTCTTGGCCCTGACCTGAGGCCCAGAGGCCCTCCCAGCCCCGCCCACACCACCAGCCCTTCCTCTAGGCAGGGATTAGGGGGCATCCAGGAGCCACAGCCCAGCCCTCCAGGCATCACCTGGTGCTGCCCTTGTTGCCAAGTTGCTGTGACTTTCTGCCTCTCCTGGCTGGACCTCGAACTGGCTCTGACCTGAGACCCAGACGAGACCCAGATGCTGCCTCAGGCTCAGGGGTGGCCCAGGATCTAAGACTTCTCTCGGGAATTGGCCTCGGCGCATAGGGCTTTTGGTATTAGCCACTTCTGCTTCCTCCCCCTCCCAGCCCGGTTCAGGTACCAACTGCTCCTCGTGGTAAGCACTGGTCATCACCCCCTTAGGCTTGCCTCCCAGGGCCAGCCTACTCCAGGGCACTGTGTAGACCCTGCCTGATGACCCAGCCCTGAACTAGGGCCCCACGTACTAGACAAAGGGCTGGGCTCTGCCCCAGTGTTTAGAATCTGCCTGTGTGAACTGCGATGCCAAAATTCACCAAGCAGATGTTGGTGCACCCCTGTACCAGCAGAAGGACCTGGAAGAGCCACCACAGTGTATGTGCAGTGCTCTAAGCGGCCACGCAGTCGGCTGCGGTTCCGCACTGTCTGGAGGGTGGGCTTCCCGAGGGTGGGCTTGGATTTGCACAGGAATCCACAGAGCCTGTTTTCCCTGGGAATCTAAAATAACAAGGGGTAACTCTAGCATGATTTAGAAGCTGCACTGAGTATGGGAAGACACCAGGGATTTGGGTTTCTAGAGGAACCCAAGGTCCTGGGTCAGTGGGCCCAGAGTGGGTGCTTCTGGACAGGTCACTAGGTCAGCATAAAATCAGGGAGTCCAAGAATTCATTGTGGTCCTTGCACATTTTGGGGGCTCCAAAAGAGATCAGTTCTTCCCCAGAGGATTTATTCTTAGGCCGACATATCCAAGAATCACAGAGAGGCAGTGGATTCCTGGAGCTGCAATGTGTTTCCTGAATCAAACAGGAAATCACTTTGGCCCCATGTTATGCCTGATACAGCCACTCAGAAAGGCAGTAACAGACTGACGGAAAGGTCAGTGATGGGGAGGACAAAGGGAGGGAGTTGACCAAAAATCACCATCTCAGGTGGAGGTGGGCTGTGGGAGCTTTGAAGAATGATGGGCCAAATCACTCTTCAGGAGAGAGAGGAGAGGCCAGGCAGGGCAAACCATGAGGTCCTCCAGTTTGCTAGGGGCTGGGACATGGCCCTTTAAGACTATCAGGATCAAATACTAACCTTTGAGATGTACGTAGTGCAGAGTTCTGAGGGAACAGATGTCAGGTAGGAATGGGGGCTACTGGCCTCACTCAGTTACTGAGGAGTGAAGCCAAGGCCCATCCCCACTGGCTCCTGAGCTAACCGGCCCTGGCTGGGGCAGGAGGCTGAAGCCAGGGCCTGTGCAGCAAGACCAGGCTTGGGAAGGGACTGCAGGGGGCGGCATGTGCGTATTACCTATCCCACCGCCTCCGAAGCTGTGGATGTTCAGTCACTTACACAGGAGGCATGTATTCAAAGAGGTGTTAGCACCTACCCTCCTACCCTGCAAAGTCATTCCTAAGTTTATACCCAACAGAAATGTGTACATACGGCCACCAAAAGACAGGAAGAAAAATGGTAATGGGCCACCACTAGAAACAAACCAAACGCCCTTTAGCAACAGAATGGGTAAGTTATGGTATATTCATACAACGGAAGACTATTCAGCAGCGAGAATGAGTAACATAGACAAATCTTACAGATGTAACTGGAATGAAAGAAGCTACTTCCAAAAGAATAATGTACCTTTTTAAAAATGAAGTTCAAAGCAGGTGATGTTAGAAGTCAGGGTGGTGGTTGTCTTGCGGGGTGGGAGTGATGAACGGAAAATTCAGGGGACATCTGGGGTGTTGGTCGTTCCTGTTTGCTTGATCTGGGTGCTGGTCGTACCAGTGTGTTCACTCCATGAAGTAATCTAGCTTTTCACACGTGGTTTGTGAACATTTCTGCCCATAAAAGGTTTACTTTAAAAAGAGACTTAAAAGACAGTGGCAGGTACCCAGCTTTCAGCACTGTGCTATGGAGGACAAGGCGTGGCCCAAACACAATCCTTCCTTCAGGAGTGATGGAGGCAGACAGGAAAACGCAAGCATGGAAACAAGGTGAGTCCAGCTGCCACCTTCATGGAGAAGTGGAGAAGGCTTGGTAGATTGCTGGGCTGTGGAGGAGGCTGGTGGCCAGGAGATGGCCACAGAGGCCCCGGACAGGAGGGTTCGCTAGGATGAGCCCTCGGAGAGCCGGGGCAGCCCCCTGGAGCCCAGTGGTGGTCAGACTGCCCAGGCCTGGAGTCTGCCCTGGGCTACCCGGAGGGCAACACACCAGGCCTTTCCTGCAGCTCTGGGCATGTCACAGGTGTCTGATTCTGGACATGCACCTTTGGAAAAACATTTTCAGCAGGCAGAGCTGAGTGGAAACATACTGCTTCTAAAAGGATCTCCAAAGCACTGAATTATTTATTCGCAGCCACATTCATCATTGATGAGGCCCCTGTCGGCTTCCCTCATCCACAAACACCTTCCCTCCCCACTCACCAGGCTCTGGGTGGTAATGTGTTGCCTTTATAAAGCATCTCTTGCACGTCACCGGGACCTTTGCTACAGACGGAGCAGATGCGTCTTTATTTTTCAGAAGAGTCGCAGCCTTCCTCTGCTCACACCTGAGCCGTGGGGGGCTGTGCCTAGAACCCGGGGCTCCTGACTGGCAGCCCAGGTTTCTTTCCACGGTCCATTCTGCTTCTCATGGGGAACTGGGTGAGACCATTTCCCCACCCTCACCCCCAGTGGCAGGAGGGCGGGGCAGTAGCTCAAGCTGTGAGTTGAGTGACCATTTTCAGATGGTCCATTCAAATACTTACTGTTTACCACGTACAAAGGAGAAACAGGCTGTGATGGACACAGCTGTGTTTTGGCCAGAGTCCCTCCCCTCTCCTCTTAGGATCCTGATTTCCTTTCAGAAGCTCGTCTCTCCCTCCCCCCAGGGGCCAGCATGGAAGAAGGCGGCTCAGACCAGGTACCTGCCCTCCTCACATGGTAGCTGGTGGGTGCCTAGAACCTCCCTCCCCACATCCTTCCTTTTACCACCTGTCCTAGTCCAGTGGTGGGCATGTGGCCTGGAAGAGCATCTGGAGCTCGGTGCTGGGGCTGGTGCGGGTGCTCAGAGCTGCTGCTCCTGGATACAGGGAGCCCCAGCCCCTCAGTGAGCTCCCGTGGTCATGTCAGCAGAACCACTGCTGCTGCTGCCCGAGCCTGGATAGATTTCCAGATAGTCTCTGTCCCCAAGGAACTGCTTTGAAGTGGGACCCATATTGCTGCAGAATAGAGCATGTAAGTGCCATGAGGGCCAGGGACTGGGCCCAGCACTGCCCAGCCCTTGGTCAGCTTCTCATCTACCCTCAGATGAGACGAGAGGGCTCTTCAAATCCAATGCAGAAGGCATGACCTGGATCTAAAGCTGCTGTCACTTAGTCAGTGGTGCTGTGCCTTGAATGACAGAGACTATTGGGGATGATAAACTAGGAAAGGGACTGGAGGAGAGCGCTTTGGTGGTGTCATGGGTCCTGGTTTGAATGGGGCTCCGATACTCAGTAAACTGCCTTGGCTCTTTAGAGAGTGAAGAAGGGCAGGCAGTCTCAAGTTTGCTTTGAGAATATCAGGCCCCTTTGGTCTTAATTTTAGGCTCAAGAAACCTTCTGATACAGAATTTGGGGAGGTGGCATTACTGGCTCTGGAATCAGCTCTGAGTTCAGATCTGTGCTCTGCCACTTCTCAAGTGTGCGTTTGGTTCAGTTATTGCCCACGTCTGAGTCTCGGCTTTCTTGTCTGTAGAACAGGGTTGACTGTCACGTGGCTGCAGCGGGTATCCAGTCGGTGGTCACTTCCCCTAGTGTGGCTTCCTCGTGCTGCCATCTTGGGAGTAGTTCTGTGTAAGCGTTAGGCTAACGTTTCTGGCGCGTTTGCTGCGTGCCTGCAGAGTTCTGTTTTCACAGGCGCTCTCATTTAGTCACCACCATGGCCTTCCTTTACAAAGAAACTGAAGCCGAGAGAGGTTGTGACTTGCTGAGGATCACAGCTAGGCTGTGGCAGAAGCAGGATCTATTTTCTATTAAAAGTTGTATCTGGTTTCTGCATCTGTCCCCTGGGGATTGTTCTGGAGGATTGGAAAAGATGAACATGGAAAGGACCCAGCATGCTGCCTGGTGCCCAGAAGGTGCTCACTAGTTATTGGGCCGTTAGGAGCACCATGGGCTCCTGGCCGGGACACGGGTGGGCCCGCCCTGCGTGCTCAGTGGCTTGGGCCTCACAGCCAGTTCCCGGGAGCCCGTCCAGAGTGAAGTGCAAATGGAGCACCTGCGCCCGTGAGGCGGACGCCTCATCCTGCGTGTGTGGTGCGACCTCCTGCGGTTATTGGTTCCATGACATCCAAGGGCCCTGGGCCAAGAAGCGTAAAAATACTGCTCTGGCAGCCTAGTCGCTGTCAGAGGAGCACCCGGACGGATGGGCCTATGATGCAGTTGCTCATTTGAAGACAGGCAGGGCTGCCACAGTCAGGGGCCTTGACTGAGCTACTAGAACTGAACTAGGGCAACAAGGGTTCTAAACATCCTTTACGACTTGATAGACGGAGAGCGAGACAGCCAGCAGGCCTGCAGGACTAAACAGGAGGCGTTTATTGTTAGAAATGGCAGGCCTTACACTTAAGCAGGTTGTAACATAAACACATGGACAAGGCGGTACACCAGCCCCGCAGGCTCCTCGCTCCCCCCCAGTGCAGGTTTCCGTTGTGTTGTGCCGAGCTGACCCGGTCCCTGTCCCAGCGCAGCAGGAGGTCACGTCCCTCCCTCTCTCTGTGTCGCCCACCAGCTGGAAGGGATGGGGTGTGACAGACTTGGAATGGCAGCTGCGGGAGCTGTGCTGCTTCTCTGTGCTTCAGGGGAAACAGGAAAAAGGCCCAACAGGCAAAACGAATTTTCTTAAATGACTGGATGGAGGTAGGTGACAGTCATCTGCTTAATGAGCAAAACAGAATCAACTAGTCTGGTGCTGATGCTGCAGCAGCACCAGGAAGAGACGCGAGTCTCCCTCCTCCCCAGAGGCTTCAGTCCTCCGTCACGGGCGGGGGAATGAGCTGCAGCTGGAAGTTCTCCTTCTGGAAGATGCTGTTGAAGGCAGAGCCACTCTGGGAGCCACCGAACGGCCTGTAGCTGTCACTGCTGCGATTCTGGGAGAGTTCTGTAAGGAGAGCCAGCTGCAAAGGAGGGGACATGCATCAACCGAGGCTGGTGGGGCAGAGAGTCTGGGAGGGGGCCCTAAATGGGGTGGCAGAGTTCAAGACGGTTCAAGAAGAGCTCAGGGACAAATCTGGCCCAGCTAGAAATTAGGGGTGACTAGGGTGTGGAGGAGAGGGTAGAGTCTGGACTCTACTTTCAAGTATGGAAAGCCAGGAAAGTGTTTTAAGCAAGGGGGTAACACGACTTGGGTTTAGGGATGGTACCCAACAGCCTGGAGAAGTGACAGAAGACCTACAGTGGCCTCTGTGAGTTGGAAAGGGAAATGGCCAGGAGATGTAGAGAAGGTGCCTATTGAGTAGGAACCCCCACTGTGTGGAGAGGAGGAGCCCAGGGTACCAGCAGGCTACTGCTCTGGGGGACTGGATGACAGGATGCCACCCAGAGGCAGGCACAAGCAAGGAAGAGCCGGTAGGGAAAGGTAATGAGCATGCTTCTGAAGTGCCTTGGAACCCCCAGACTCACATAGTGGCAGGACGGCTGAGAACTCCCAAATCTGTACTCTCTCTACAGCTACAGGATTCCAGTAAGTTTTAGCCCAGGGCCTTTTGGAATCAAGACCAACTGTCCTAATCCCAACTACAGTTATGTGTGCTCATGTGTCTCAGTTCTGGACAAAGGAGGTAAGTGGAAGAGGTGTATACAATTTCTAGGGACTGTCCTTAAATAGAGGGCTTATAGTCCTCCTTTTTCTGCATCTTGCTAGCAGGAATGCAGATGTGATGGTTGGAGCTGGGGCAACCATGTTGAACCATGTGAGTAAAAGCCGTATGTTAAGGATGGCAGAGCCACAGGTAGAAGAAATCTGGAGAGAGGTTCACGGAAGGTTGCCCTGGGATGCCTGCATTTCCAATTCCATTTTGGTTAAACCACTTTAATTTAGCATTCATCCTTCATGGCCAGAACAAATGCAGATGCCTAGCAGAGTCTGGGGCTGAGGGCAGGTTGGCAGTCATCAGTATAAAGGGTCCTAGATGAGGGACTGGGCTTATGCTTGCTTGCTCTGGAAGCAGGATAAACACAGATGCCCTTCTGTGTCCTCACAGCCCATGGCAGGTAACGGACAGAGATCTTTCCACTTCCTCTGCATCCTCTGCCAAGTTCTGAGTGCTCCCTGGGGTCAGGGCTCCACAAGCCATAACAGGGAGGCCAGGGCACTTTACAGACTGAGGAGGAGGCTGGAGTGAGGACTTGAGGACACTGTTACTAAAACAGTAATTATGGATAGGAAATATAAACAACCACACAAACGTTACCCTGGAACTTCCTCGGTAGAGATGGCAAAGCTGATCAAATGCTTGGATTTGCTGTGGATCCAGAACAGGTTCTGAGGCTGCCTGAGAAATCAAGAACAGTAAGGTTAGTAACCCCCAGGGGAGGCCTCTGGATTTGGTCAAGGCTGAGCCAGGATGTGGCGCTTCCTTCGTTCCTGTGAGGAAAATCCATGCTTCCAGCAACTGGTGAGATACTTTACTGGACAGTAATCAGAAATGGGCGTGTCCCTCCTCAGTCCCTTGGTGCCAGCTGCAGGTGGACCTCTCTAGGGACACCCCCCCACCCCAGGATTTCCAGCTTTTCCAGACTGACGAGCTTCCTTAAGGGCTGCTTGGTCCCTCTCTGCCTTTACTGTGCAGAGCAGTTCAGCTCCACCCAGCCCTGCGCTCCCCACTCCCCCGCCTTATCCCTCACCGAGTAAGGCGCTCAAAGACGCTCCTTCTTTGTGCGGGTGGTGGGGATACAATATATGTGAAAAACAACGTCATTTCCCTGCCTCATTGTAAAGCTGGTAGCCACCTACAGGGCTGCGATTTTAGTCTGCTTTGGAGGAAGGAAGTCTAATTGCTCCCCCAGTAGGCTTGCTTTGCTCCACCTGTTACTGCACCAACACTGTGGTCCTACTCAGTGGATCTGATCCAACGCATAGCTAGAGGGCAAAAGGGATCCTGGCAGAAGCCGCCACAGGCTTTGGAGTCGGAGGTGAGCTGGAATTCCAGTTCTGACACTAACCTGCCACGTGATCTTAGGCAGGTCCCTTCTCTGACTTGAGAGGATGACTCTTCTCTGTGAGGTTGCTGAACAGTAAATTAGACAAGATCCTTATTTAAAGTGTCTTTAACCGGCTGGCACCCCACCAGGGCTCAGCTTTTATTACAATCTAGGGACACCCTTAGTTAAATGATAATTTCAGAAGGGTTTCAACAATGCAGGGTCTGGGTGTTGACACGAGTGCATCTATGGGGCTGAGCGAGGCTGTGGGACTGAAGGGAGCTGCAAGAGGTGGTCTGTTTCTATGAACGTCCTGGCAGGAACAGCCACCAAAACAGTGATAAAAAACAAATGCCTGTGTCCAGGATGTGGAAGACGTTCAAGAACAGGGTGGTGGAGTGGACGACAGGGGAGGCACAGAGCAAATACCACCACTCAGAAGACTGACCACGTCCTGAGCATTTACCACAGCCGAGCCCCGTGTGCTGCATACTCTCCGTGGGTGAGCTCGTCAAATCCTCACCGCCACTCTAGCAGGAAGGTACTGCCGTGTCCGGCCCCCCAACCCTCCAGGATCTGAACTTTAAAAAGCATTACATACAGAAACTTTAAGAGGTTATGTAAAGTTGTCTTCCAGAAAGGACTTGACTTTTTTCCTCAAAATTTTCACCACCCTTAGGGGGGAAAACCTACTAAGAGCTAAGACAGAATGGAAATAAACACTACCCCTGAAATAAATCACGCTAGTGAGTGTGAAATTCTTTCACACCTTCATTTCCTAACTAGGTGAAAGGATCTGCTTCGAGACCCAGAAAGCAGCTGTCCACGATGAGGGTCACAGCTCATGGGCCCCTGGAGTCCCGCAGTGATGCTGCAGAGGTAACGTCTAGCTTCGGAGACCAGCCCAGGGGACAGTGGCCTTAGTTCTTCCCAGTGCTCTCAGTGGGCTGAGGATGGTCTGAAGGGAATCCTGAGCAGGGCAGCCAGAAAGAGAAGAGGACAGACTGCAGGGGGCCTGCTTTGCATTCTAGACTCACGCCTTGGGTCCGCCAGACACAGGGAGGGACCGTCCCTAATCTGAGAATGTTTCAACTTGCCTTGACGCTGTAAAAATACTTTTTCTCAATAGACTTTGGTAGGAAAAATGATCCTATTCTTGGAGAGAAAGTGTGTGGAGTATCACACTTCCAGTAGATACTAAGTAAGATACACTGGGGAGTTCCAAGCTAAAGATAATTTGAAGATTTGAGAAATACTGCAAACTGAGCACAAGCAAGCAAAAGAGAAAACATGGTCCTGCCCTGATTCTCCGAGTCCCTTCAGTACTACTGGCATGAACTGGGGAGCAGGGTGGGTTAAGGACAAGGACGACAGGTGCCTTTCACTGGCCATTCCAAACCTCACCACAGTCCCTGTGACAAGGGACCAAGCCTCGATCACACCTTTGCTTATTCCCTGGTTACCCCGTGATAAAGTTTAACAAGGAGGGTCCAAATGGAAACAAGTCGGGAATGGTCTAGGTAAGGTGCCCTGGGTGGGGAGAGGGGGTGTTAAGGCAGGTTAATTAAAAAGAAGGTTGTAAAGGCCAAGTTAGCAAATGACAAAGCAGCAAGGGGAGACCTCTCCTTATACTTTTATAAAACAGCCCTTTGCTTTGAAAGGATAATGTAAGGAAAAACCTCTCATGAAATGTACTACTGTACTCACTATGAAGATGCAGCTGTGCAGGCCACCTGTGCAGAATTCCCATCAGACCCTGTGCTGAGAAAAACTGCTGGGCACAGTTACTAGTTGTGCAGACTTGCTACTAATTATGTTTTCTTTTTTGCTTTTGTCACTTGGAAACTCAAAGCTAAGTGGTCAGCTATATAAGACTAGCAGCTGGATAGGGCTTGGGGGCAAACATTTACGTGTGCTATTATAACCTGGTTTTATATTATTTTCATAGGCGAACAGTTTTAAAAAATATAGATTTCCTTATTTATTTCATCCAATTGGATCTATTTTGGAAGCCAACTCAAATCACTATGGCAAAGTGAAGGTCATGTCAGATCAGAAGTAAAAATGCTACTGTTAAAAACAGAATCGTGCTTTCCACCCCCCCCCACCCCGGCAACAGTACATGGCAGAGACGTCTGTTCTAGGCACAGAGTAGATGGCTCTAGCCCCCAGGAGTTTGCTCACTGAGACAGGAGGTGCAGAAGTCTCAAATGATGGTCCAATCCATGTTTTCTAATCCAGCACTTCTCCAGCTTTTTATGTGCGTGAGTATCACTAAGCGATCTTGTTAAAATGCAGATTCTGGTTAGAAGGTCTGGGGTGGGGTCTGAGATTCTGCGTTTCTCACATGCTCCCGAGCTGGTCCTTAGTTTGCACTTGAAGCAGCCGTGTGCTAATCTGTACCTAGAACAGCTCAGTGCGGCTGGACTTCCTGTCCTCACTGAGCCCTAATGGGAGCAGGACACTCTCAGGTTATGGGCACTTGCCTCCTGATTCAGCTGTACCAAATCAACCAATTAGCATTTCTCTTTTTCTAAGGTATCCCGATTAGGTATGTTTTCAGCATCCATTAAGCTCTCATGCATCTTTGCAACCGTTGGGTATAATAAGAAAATTTACTAAGAATATTCTTACCCCATGGTTTACTTTGAATCTTCCTGAAATGCAAGCCCTATACCTACCTTACTACACAGGTGAACAGGATTGTGTGAACTGAGGAAGAGAAGGCTTGGCGACCTGCCCAACCTGAATGAAAAATTCACAGCTAACTAAGGGTCATAACCAGGTCCTCTACCTTATAAACCCTAGCCCCCATGTCCTAGGAGAAAAGCTGGAGTAACAAACAGGTAAGTGTGCACACACACGTGTGTAAACACATACATGCAGACCCATAATTTCAACACAACATACCCGATCACGGTGGCACCGAGGCTTGTTATCTTAGTCCTCTAAGCTCTTAAACTCCTTGGAGATACCAAAGGAAGGGGTTTTCCAACAACATCCTTCAGGAATTAAAAAATATGGTTGTTCTTTGGGTGTGAAATAACTGAAGGTGACAGGTCGTTTCTTATAGGCCATCATCCTGGACAGCAAGATACTGAACTAAGGAGTGCCTGCTTGGGCTGCCCTGGGACCCTCTGGAAGCAAAGTTTCTGCAGGGTGGAGACACCGTATTCTTGGTGGAGCTGTACTGTCTCTGTGGAAAAGTATCTGAAAACAAGTCATCTGAGGTGAAACAGGAGAGCCATCTGTAGACGTGCCTAGGACCCAGGAAATGCTTACCTCTCTTAAAATCCTTCCTGGAACAAGACAGAGTATTTTTAAAATGGAAACATTCAGGGAATGACTTATAAGTCACTAAGGTGAGGATTTCTGTACTCTTCTCCATGGGTCTCGGGTTCGAACAGTGAGGTGGGGCAAGAATGAGGGGAGGAACAGGGCCCTGGGGAGGCGGCTTGTCCAGCTGGTTTATGCCTGCCCCCTGCAGGCTCCTGTCCCCTCCCCCCAGGCCTCCTGAACAGGGATCCAGTTCTGTGGTTGAGCAAATATTTCTAGGGCCTTACTATATCAGCACCTGGGGAATAAGGATGAGTAAATCCAGAGGAGTTTACAGATTCCAGGACATTAAAAACCCCACAAAAATATTTCCCCTTGCTCTAGTCTGATACGCAACACTTGAGAGGTTACTGAGGTATAATAACCACATATAGCATGCCTGCCAGGGGCCTTGTTTGAAACACGGTCTCACGCTGTCTGCATATACCGTCAAAATTTTCCTTGCAGTTACACTGTTGCGCTCACTGTAGTGTAATTATCTGACTCCTCGTTAGCTAGTGAACTCCTTGAATATGAGAGTTTATCTTATTCATCCTTCTATTCCCAATGCTCTACACCCAGCAGATGTTCAACGATTTCTCAACAGTCCCACACCCTGGCTTATCCTGAGCTGTCCATTTAGGTGTGAGAGCGGGCAGCAGCTTGCTCCTCTGGCCCAGCGTGAAATCACTGACATTTGTCTTCCGTTTCTAAGAACTTGGACTTTCTAAAGATTCTTTGTGATTTCTGGCATGTTTGTCCTGTATCTCGGTGAAATATCTATTTCATTATATTTAATTCACTTTTGGGGAAAGGATTATTTTTCAAATGTCAGAAAATACCAACCCTTTTAAGAAGGAAGGAAAACTTACCAAACCAGTGGGACTTGTGGTTAAAAGCCTTTCTCTTGTCACTCCAGCACGTCCTAGTGCAAAGCCCTCCATCCGGTATGACTGAGACCTGCCCCCTCAGTGCCTGCAGTTGGAGGGCAAGAGCCTGCATTCCTGAGCCTGTCTGCCTGAGCCCAGTCCCGGCATCACTGGTCACTGGCACTACAGTTACTGGTGAGCTAGCTGCTATTTTTTTTTTTTTGGTAGTATAAGGATGGTGATAATAGCTGTCCCCATAAAGTGGCTGAGCAGATTAAGAAAGTGAGGCACATGGAGCACTTGGTAAATGCCCAGGACTTGGGAAGTTCTCAGTGTTATTAACTGGAGGGCCCAGTCTACATGCGATACTGGTCGTGTATGCCTAATCTAATGTGGCCAACGAAATGGAAAGAAAGACATCAGAGCATGGCGCAGCCAAGACTGGCGCACCTGCTAGCAAGAGGGATGGGTGGATGTTGTGGGAGAGAGAAGGGAGAGTGGAGGGAAAGCATTGTGGGAGGAGAGCTTCAGGACAGGCTCTCTCTCCCACCCACTGGCACCCAGCACTGCCTGGCACAGAGCAGCCATGAGATAATTATCTGCTGGTCAAAAGGAGGAAGGGATGGGAAGGGCAAGCAGACTTTCTACTTACATAGTCACTGGCGTGTTTCTAAACCCCCTGCAATGCAGGAAGACAAACACAGGGGTGGCTTCGGACAGACCTGGGTCCACCTGGATTCTGCAGTGATCAGGGAGTGGCTCTGGCCAAGTTACTTAGCTTCTCTCAGTTTCTTTGGCTGTAAAACTACTCTGCAGAATTGGGAGGATTAGTGATCCTGGATGGGCTTGGCACCTATTTGATGGTCAGTAAATGGCAGTGACTACTGTGATTGTGTTATCTCTGCTCCCAAGAGAAATGCCTGGAAGAAAGAATGGGCTGAGAAGCAGGAAACCTGAGCTCTAATCCCATCTCAGCTCCCTATATAACCTGCACAGGTCTCATCACTCCTCTAGGTCTGTGTTCCAATTTATCAAAGTGCAATGCCATCATGGGCCACGCTTTACTATCTGTGTAAGATGTGGGCACCATGAGATAATAAGCACTTAAGGCATGAACGTTTCAAGTAAGATACTGATGTTTACTGAAGCTAATCATGGCTTTATTGCATCGTCAGAAGTAAACAAGGCCAACCAACTAGAGGCACTGTCACAAAGACTCATGAGAGCCCTGAAGAGAAACAGTAAGATGCTATCAGAGAAACTGATTTGTCAAATCAATGTCATGCACACAAAAAAAGTGGGAGCAACAAAACCTGAACACAGCCTCAGTTTGACAAATCTGTAAACATAAAGCACTCTTTCCAGACTATCTCACCCACCAGCCCAGGACTGACTAGGAGTGATTTTTCCAACTGGAAGAGAAACAAAAACAATCAATACTATCTGCTAGCATAAATTTCTTTCTTCCTGTGTGATGAAGTCCAATGATAAGAGCTGAAAATTAAACTGTAGCTGAACATTAGACGAAGAAGCAGTGATGGCCCTGGAAATGACCTTGTAAGACTCAGCATTAAAGTAAATCTGGTGGAAAATGAGGTGCTGATGATCTAGGAGAGCCCCAGGGAGAGGGCCGTTGGCTGACGTAGCACCAGCACATTTCAAAGCTCAGTGACTCACAGACGTGGTGGAAGTGAGAGCTGTAATTACATCTGCTGGAAGGAAGAAAACAAACGAGGGCTTCCAGGATCCACGGGCCTTGCAACCAGCATATCAAGCTTTGATACAGGAAACAACTGTGATCCCTGCCACCCTGAAGGCTGGGTTCCTAGGAATACGGGTAACACTACGGATTCTGGACACAAAGCCTTCCGAGTCATACACAGAGATGGGGACAGTCACAGGGACTGAGCTCTGCTTGTTCATTTCTTATTCTCCACAATAAATAAGTGCTGAAATAAAAATCTCAACATTTCCCTTCCTACTTGTCTTCCCACATGAACACATGAGAGGGCTGAACCTAGTTTGTGAAGGACGTGGGGCTCTTGGTTTAATTCTGCAGCATAATTGTCTCTTCAATCTAGGCGGCTTCTGCTGGCGGTGCTGTGATGTGCTGGTGGGGATGGGGGTACAGAGGGCACAGAATGCCGCCTGCCTCGGCCTGTCAAATCTTTCTGTACCTAATAGAGTCAGACTTTTACTACCACGCAAGCTGTTTCAAACTAGAGTTCCTTAATATTTAACACTTTTGCCTAAAATGAAACTTTGACTTCAGAGATAAGCCATTGTTTCCTTTCCCATCTGCAAACAGAAAACACCTTTCCTAAAATTCCCACAGACAACAGTTTAAACAGAACATGACCTCTCATACACCCTCGTTTCCCAAAGCCTCAGAACTCTCGGCAGCTCACAGCTGCTAATGAATCCGGTGAAGAAATAATAAAATAAGCAGGTACCTTGCTAAGCCGACTGGAGAGAGGAGGGAAACACCGGGCAGAACATCTCTCAAAGAAATTTCACTTAGAGTGGTGATCCCAGCTCTAAGGCAAGAGTATCTGAGGTCGAAGATGGAAACCATGAGAGGCTGAATAAAAAATATTCATTAAAAACTAAGATCTTCAAAACCACAATAAAAAAGACACAGCACAGTGAGAGTTCACAGCAGAGGAAGAGAATGCTGACTTAAGTCTTGTAAGGTGTGAAAAGGTGTAACCACCGCCAGCACCACGGGTAACAATTACTGAACAAGTAATTATGTGAGCCAGCCCTGTTCCACGCGCTGAACATGTATTACCTCATCTCAATAAATCATCGCAAAACCTCTATGAGGTCAGTTCTCCTGTTATCCTTAGTCCCAGGGTGCACGATGTGCCCAAGGTCCCTCTGGATGGTGGTAGAGCCCAGATCTGAGTCTGGGCAGTAGGTTTCTTCCACGTCTATGCTCGTGGCATCCGTCTGGAAGACGCCTGACAGAAAGTCACTTTCAAGGGACCCAGAATGTTGTGTCAGGAACAGACCAGGACTAGCTGGGGTCCGTATCTACACCACACTCTTAAACACTGATGGTCTCTGACCTCCTTCGGGGGATCCTTGATAATTCTGCTTCCTAGTTAAGAGAAAGTCATCCCACCAGGCCTATGAAGGGTCAAGAAAAGGCCCAGGAAGATGGAGACAGAGATGGAGAGGGAATTACAAAGTTACGGGAATTAGAGTTACAAAGAAAGCTCCACAGTAGGTTGGCATTTTCTGTTAGTCAGAACCCCCACCCCCACCTTTGTCTTATTTAAAAAAAAGGGCAGGGAAAGCATTCATTTCCTATGTGTAATTAAGGCCTAGCTACGTTTTGATTATCTAACTGATTGCTTAAGAAGAATGTCAAATAACTATCTTGATAGATGCTGCTGTAGGGCAGCAATTACGACAGAGCTCTTCTCCAAGGGCAGGGACTTTAATGATTTTCTGTGAGAGATATGACTGATGAAACATGTTCAGTTTCAGTATTCCCACCCATCTGGATAGACCTAAAAATGACTGCCTGATAACAAGAGAAATACAGAATCAACCCTGGAAAAGAAAGTTTAACTCTGAAATGAGCAAAGCCCAATACAAGTTAACAATGTAATTGCAAAGCAAAGAGGAAGAGCCCTGCTGCACTGCAGTCGTACTCTAGTTATTTTAGACACCAATTTGCTAAGAGAAATGCTTTGGACCGTTTCTTTGAGAGGTCCAAAGATGGAACTGAGAAAAATGACTAAGTTATTGTTCATTGTACCAAAAAAACTAGAAACTTCCAAATCTTGCCGTTATAAAGTAATGGAAATAAACTAGACTAACTCTCCCAACTTAAGTATAAAATTAGCCAAAAAATATAGATAGCAGTTGTTTTCAAACTTTGGACAAAAGGCAGAGCAGGAATGTGATCCTCGACAGAGAGGAAACATACAAGGTGAGTCCGTGATGTCCCTGGAATTCTACCTGGAGGCACTTTCTAGACTGTGGCACAGGGAGGGAGGGTCCTAGGAGAGCATGGCAGTCTTGCTGAGCTGAGGAATCAGAGACAGGAATTTGGGGCTGGACAGTGAGAAGAATTTGAAAAGGAGGAAGTTGAGTTGACAAGAAGCTCCAGGAATCTATATAGGTGTTCCCTTAAGTTTCTGGCCGGATACTCAGCTGCACGTAGGCAGGCAAGACTCCAGAGGCCTGGCAGAGAACAGCTGCTGGGAGCTGGGAGATAATAGGATCCTCTGGAGGTTGCAGAGTGCTGGGCTGGGAATACTACTAACCAGCTGAAGTGGAAAGACCCTGGGTGTTCAATGAGACCATAAAAAAGCCACATATTAGGAGCAGGACTATTCTAGACCTCGCTAAACAAATCTTAAAAATAAGCCTCAAGAATATGTAGCTGATTTAACAGTAAATTAACCTACTAGAACAAAATTCAAACATCTCTAAAGGAAGACAACAAAATCCAGATGATAACATACTACTCACTATGCCCAGCATGCAATCAAAAGTCTAGGTATGCAGAGCAGGAAAACATGACTTACAGCCAGAAAAAAAACTGACAGACTCAGAGGTGACAGAGACACTGGGTTAGCAGACAAAGAATTTAAAACATTTATTTTATAAATACTTTAAGGATTTAAAGGACCTAACAACTCAATACATGAGAAAACCCCAGTAGAGAAATGGAAACTATAAAAAGCACTAAATGATGGGAGGTTAATAAATGAACCTATAGCATTGCAAGGTCCCTGTATTTTACATTAAGTAGTAAAATATTAACACTAATCAGTAATAATGTAAAATTGTATTCTGTAATACCTACAGCCACCACTAAAAAATAAAGCAAAGAAGCAACAGAACTAAAATAAATACTAAAAAATATTCAAATAACTTCCCCCCAAAATAGCAGAGTAAAATTCAGCTAAGTCAAAAAAATAAATAGATGAAAAGGAAACAAACCAACAATCATAGTTGGAGATTTTAACACTCAGTAATTAATAAAATAACTTGACAAAAAAAATCAGTAAGCATACAGAAGATATAAAAAGCACTATCAACTGCCTTCACTTACAGGCAAATTTATAGGAATTACACCCAAAACTGCAAATTACACTTTTTTTTCAAATGTACAATTAATGTTCACATAGGAAGATGACACGCTTGCTCATAACAAAGTCTCAGTGACTTTCCAAAGGTTTACATCTTCCTGGGTATGCTCTCGGACAATGACAGAATTAAATCAGAAACCCATTAACAATAATGTATCTAGAGAAACCTCAAATATTTGGAAATTAAAATAATATACTTCTAAATAACCAATAAGTGAAAGAAGAAATCACAAGGTAAAACAGAAAATATTTCAAGAAGAATGATGATGAAAGTACATCAGAATTTGTAGGATGCAGCTCATGTAGTACTTAGACAAAAAATTATAGATTTACATTTTTATATTAGGTAAGAAGAAATGTAAATTGTAGAACTGACAAGTATAATACCGAATATGAAAAATTCACAGCAGATTTGATACTTGCAGAAGAAAAGATCAGTGAATTAGAAGATATGACAGTAGAAGTTACTCAAATTGAAGCAGAGAGAAAATAAGGTAACAATAATGAAAAAGGCCTCACTGACCTATGGGAACAACATTAAATTGTCTAATATACATGTAATTAGAGGCCTGGAAGGAGGGAGATTGGGGCAGAAAATACATTTAAAGAGAATGGCTAGAAGTTTTCCAAATTTGATGCAAATATTAAAACATACAGATCCAAGCAGCTTAATGAACCCCAAGAAAAATAAAGAAGGTCACCTCTAGGCATGTCATTGCTGAAAACCAAAGATAAAGAGGAAAACTTGGAAGCAGCCAAAG